GCTTAAAAAAAAAAAAACACCCTGTATATATATCAGGGTGTCGAACCGGAACCGAACCGAACCAAAAACCGGAACCGAACCGGTATTTTTTCCGGAACTGAACCCGAACCCGAACCGTTATATTGTTATCGCGATGAACTCGAACCGGAACTGAACCGGAAAAAAAATAACGGTTACCGGCTCATGTCAAAACGGTTCGGCCACGCGCTGTTGACAATGAATGTGCTATCAATGCCATTTGTTTTTTAAGTGCCGTCAACTGACACACACCTCGCTTACATATTTTTCTTCTCCACTCAGTCTTAGGAATATAAACGCTGCATCCATGAATCTTGACAAACGCTGCATCCATGAATCTTGGCATAGGAACCAGTATTGCGCTGGTCGCGGCTTGCACGAAAAAAAAAAAAAAAATTAGAAGGCTGTGCAAAAAAAAAAAAAAAAAAAAAAATCTCGTCACGGGATTTCATTTTTCTACAATCTCGTAAATCCTAAATTCTGCTGTGTGCTCATTTCATAACACGTTTCTAGAACGTGATGTTGCAATTTTTTTTAATGTTATTTTGATGTTATTTTGATTTTGTTATTTTGATGTTGCAATTTGTCAGTTATAATTTACGAACCGGTTCGCGAACCGGTTCAGTGCCCCGAACCGGTTCGCGAACCGGTTCGCGGATCGAATTAATCGAACCGGAACTGAACCGGAACAAAATAAAGTTACCTGAACCTGAACCGTACCCAAACCCGTATTTTTTTCGGTTCGACACACTGTTTTTTTTTCGGTTCGACATATATATATATATATATATATATATATATATATATTGTTTTGCACTGGTTTGACAAACTTTTTTGTTTGTAGCTTCCAGCAAAATGAAAAAAAAAGTACTAAATACCCTTACCTGTAATTCAAAAACTCACTCTAGAAGTCCTCAGGAATAGGTGCATCTCTCCGCTGTTTGTGGCACTGCAGCTGAAGGGTGCTGAACACCCGCGTGTTTGCTTAAAACACTCGAAGTGCTCTGGGATGTCGTGACGTCTACATGGTGACTTCCGGGTTCATATGGCACCGGCGCCATCGTGTCCGTTCCAACACAACATGACCAAATGCGTTAATTACGCGGAGGTAACAAAATTAACCAGTCACTGTCAGTTAAAAAAAAAACGCAGATGAACTTACGTTTCTGAAACTTTTACGAATAGGATCACGCGTCTTACCTCGTGATGTTTCTCACGGCGTTTCGATCGACTGTTGTCGCAATTCTGTTGGAATACAGCGATAACAAGCTGCCTCGGTTTCTACTCACCCTGTATTTCTTAAGTTGTTGGTGAATTTTCAAGAAGGTTTCGTAGACCGTTGACCCCATCCACTGCGCTTTCTGTAACGAACGTAGCTACTGCTCATTCGTGCCGCCAGCCTTGTCTGCCGTGTTCCCGATCTCGTAAAGGGTGGCGGAGCGCGTAGCGGAACGGCGGAAGCCCTCTACAAAAGCTTCATAGAAAAACTGAAAAAAAAAGGTTAAGGCGTGCCGATTTTTGAACAACTTACAGGGGAGTTTTAGTAGATCATTCTGACTCTTATAACGATGCCCGATACTCCGGCGACGACTTTGCTCGCGCATTGTACGTTGATAGGGTATCGTTATCGGAAATATCGCAACGATCTACTAAAACGCTCTAATATGGCTCTGCATTCGATGGGATTACGTTGCATTTCGATGAGCTCGACGAAAAAGAAAATCACGAAACAAAAGAAAAAAAAAAGCATGAACATAATGAGTAGGGTTCTGCGTTTCTTAAACGTTCAGTGGCAAGAAGATTTCCTAAAATGGAGCGAGCGCCCAATCCTAAGGTTGAACCTTAAAGCCAGACTTCTACCTGTAGGCAGTTCGGCTGTCTTGTAGACCAAGAAATGAATGAATGAATGAATGAATGAATGAATGAATAAATGAATGAATGAACGAATGAATGGACGAATGAATGAATGAATGAATGAATCATTCAATAAATCATCCAATCAAGAAATTAGTTAGTCAATCAATCATTCAATAAATCATCCAATCAAGAAATTAGTTAGTCAATCAATCATTCAATAAATCATCCAATCAAGAAATTAGTTAGTCAATCAATCATTCAATCAATCATTTATGGTTTTTATTAGGCTCAATGCATGTATGGGTTACTCAAAGACCATCTGGGCCCATTGGGAATTTTGATTAGCTTGGCCGCATTTTAATAAAATATTACGATGACGCAGGCGCCGATATTGAAAACATAGCAAATACATAAAATACCGGAGTTGTGAATATAAAAAGCTCGCTCGTTTACTGGGCCTTCAGTTTTATTCAAGGTAATCTAATGAGCTGGGAACTTCTGGGACACATATGCGAAGAGTGCGTTATTTGCCAATGCTTGCAAGACGTACCTTTTTTCATTCGCCATTTCTTTTTGTCACGTTGTAGGTTTCATTTTGCACTGAGTATTTCGCGCCTTGTTCTGCACATCACAATAAAGACGACCACCGTTTCTTATATTTTCCTTTCTTCTTTTTTGTGCGGGCGTTTCTCGAAAGCTCGTCGTTTCACGTTTCTCTAGAACCGCGGGTTGCAGAGGACCAAGATGTGAGCCTGGGGCTGCAATAAGCTCCTTCTCTACGAACAAGTCCCACCTCGGTTTGTTACTCTGCTGAGCACTTGCATGAGTTGTAAACTTGGTGTCCCCCCAAAAAAGCTATATAAAAAAACAACGATACCCTGAGAAAAAAAAAGGTGAGGAAAGCGTTGTTACCGGGAACACGTGGAATAAAGGTGCGTTCGTCGCTAATCTGAATCTACTTGGGCCTTAGCGTAGAAGACGAAAAAAAAGGCACAATAATGTCTTCCGCTTAGAAATGGACATCACGTGTCTTGGCTTCGGGAGGTTCTTTCTGGATTTAAGTTGTTTCGCGCAAACAAAGTTTCATTTCAGTAATGCGGGGAAATGGTCTTCGTTTACAAGCGTTATGTGCGTGTCTAGTTTTATTGGTCTCGTATGTCTTGGTAGCGGTGCGTGTAATCGTACCCTAATTTGTGCTCAACGGCTCTTTTGTACCGCCAGTTAAAGTGGCCCCACCTCAACGTGCTTTTACGTCGGATATGTGAGGGCCGCCATTGGACGGAGCAATTCTTTACGAGTGCCACTGTCGCAATAGTGAGGAGGAGGTATACATAAAATATATCAGTGTCGGCAACGCGGACAGTAATGTGCTCAACGTCCTTGGAAACCTAGCCGGGAACTTCCTCACACTGAAATATTAGAAGTATAAAATGTTGATTATATTTAACTAGAGTTAAAAATAATAAGGTAATTATAAAGTACCCGGAACAAACCAGTTCCTTCCCATAATAAGGTAAAAATGAGCTGAACTACCCCAAATTAAACATTCATTATAACGTTGAGATGATAAAGCGAATGTTTCTCTAATTACCTAAAGCACCTAAATTCGGCTGCGCGAATTGTTAAATTACATTTTTTATGTCCTTACGTTATCCTTTCGTAACGGAATGACGTATTGAATGATCTGCTCTTACGTAATCTGTCATGGTAACAGCCTTCAACAGAAATTTACTTTTAGTTGTTTTGTCTTTTTATTTGGTTCTCCTTGTTTTTGGGATATCATTTACTTGGCCATCTGACCCTACAGAAAAAAGTAATCCATGATTCGAAGTGTCATTTTAGAGGTATTCATTGTTTGATAAAAACTTTCTTGGTCTTTAATGATATATGCAAACGCCGCTGCACATGTTCTTGGTTTGCGCAATCACCATTTATCTTTATTATATGAGAGCTAAGCGTACAATTCATCTAAATTGTTAGAAGTTTCTCTTTTCAGTGCTTGGTGAAATGCCTTTGCACCATTATGATTCCTTATACATAGGGTAGAATGGCAAATAACGATCGCAGATATACGCATGTCTAATGCTTCTAACGAAATGCTACTTTTTGTACTACTTTTATTTGTTTAATTTTTAAACTAATATTTGGCATTACCTATTCCGCGGTACCTTGGTGAGTGTCCGAAAATACTCTTACATTGAAATTGGTAAAAGTACCCTGGTAGTTCTACCAATTTCATTTTCGGGTACCCCCTAATTTCAAATATGACAATGCATCACATATTTAACCATTTACGTCTGTTATATATTCCATATATATGGAATATATATATTCGCTATGAGAAAGTTTGACTTCGAAACGTAGGATGAATAATTTAGGGCACTTGATTTTAATGTTTGCTTATAATCAAATTTTTCGCAGTTAGAGTGCAAGAGTTTTAGATTAAGGAAACCAAATCACTTTCCATTCCTCATCGTGACTTTTGTGACTTCCAAAATATTTAATCATTCAAGAAAACGAATGTTCATTCTCAGCAATTAACACATTGAGTTATACTTGATTTGAGTTAATCAATCTCTTTGCCCGTCGTTTGGTGATTTTACACAAAATTAGGGTGCAGAAATCTGATAAGAAACGTGATGAACGCACAATGCAAAGCATATGTTAAAAACTTCGGCACTGGCATAATTTTCCTAGTTCAAACCATACAAGTAGTCGATCACTTGCACATATATAAGGAGTCTAGGGAATGTTTTGTTTACTCACAAAACAGAAATACTATTATGGTTTTTCACGGCGCTTGCTTTGACCAAACGATACAAATTAAGAAATATTATTGGGACGAGTTGTCAATTTGTATGCCTATTTATCTTATAAAAGCATCGAAGAAGTTCTCATGTCCGATTGAGTGTAAAAGTTAATGAAAAAAAAAAAGAAACTATATACTTAAGAATTTTTTTCGTCCTTCTAGTGGTCGGTACGACAATGCAAAGTAAACGAAATGGCGTCTTTTTGTAAAAGAAGTTGTGTTCTGAACGACCCTTATGGTATCTCAAGAAGTGAGCAGAGATTTCACCCAACCACCGTGTACTTTCAACTCTTGGTGTTGTCGTTGCTGTCTCCAGGTGGTAAAGATGCTGGCCACGGTGGTGCTCATGTTTGCCGTCTGCTGGCTGCCCATTCACCTGATGAACCTGATCCTGTACTTCGACCGCGACGCCATCTCTCCGGACACGGACGAGCAGGAGTACCTGTATATCGCCGCCTTCTTCAGCTGCCACTGGTTCTCCATGGCCAACAGCTTCGTCAACCCCATTATCTACTGCTTCATGAGCGACAACTTTAGGGTGAGCTCTAGAGAGATGCAAAAAAAAAATATATACGCCCTTTAGAAAATGGTTTGTGCGTTGACATTTACGCAGATCCTTAGACAACGAACCACGGCGAACAGTAAATCGATTTCGGTAAATGACAAAACTCCTAATTCTATTAGACAAAAAAAAATGCAGTGTTGGCAGTGGCATGAGCATGGCGTTTCACTTGCTCATTATTCCTGCCCACATTGCATTTTTCAGATCTAATTTGAGAACAGCTTTATCATTCGCTGGAATCCTTCTACTCTTCGTCGGGATTGACTGTCTTCATGTTGTGCAGGAAAGTGAACGCGCAGACTTTCCTTAGAGTACGATGCCTTGTTTTAAATACACAAAATCTCGTAAAATGTTTTTTTTTTTTTTTGTGGTCGGGCAAGCTGTTTTTGGAAACAAGTGCGTGCCGATCCTTAACGATAAACATTATTTCGTCTTACTGTGGCATAGCGAGTTTGTTTCGAGCTAAGCCAATACCACTCGCAAGACATAGGCGCACAACAAACAATATTGGCGTGGACCCTTGACCCACACCAAACGACGCAAAAAAAAAGTTTTGAAACTGGAGGAGGGTGCACATTCGGAAAAACTCAGAAACTTCCGTTTTGCCGCGCAGCAATTAGGTAAAAAAAAGAGGAGAGCAAAAAGAGAGAAAAAAAATGTTTACCATGGCGGCCTGCCTCGGGAGGGTCAAAGGCTTCAGTCTACGGAGGATGCTCAAAGGATAAAAAAGCTAGAAATATGTTTACTTGGGAGAAGAGCGTGTTGGTTTAAGTCATGGATGAAGAAAGACTAAAACAATTAAAACAGGGACAACACAACCACATCTGAAGAAAAATGTGGTTGTGTTGTCCCTGTTTTAAGTATTTTATTCTTTCTTCATCCATGAAATATGTTTACCCTCCCCCTTTTCCCCTTAAAAAAAAGGAAAAAAAAGAAAGAAAAGGTTTGCGTTGAGACATTAAGCATGACGTTTCCCGAGCTACGTCACATCCTGTGTGAGAAAACATATTGTCTCTTTAGGTCTAAACGTATTTCCAGCCTCGCCGTTCATCGATTTTCCTCTATAGATTGCAGTGATCGACACTCAGAAGTACTCAGCGTGGGCTGTGCCCTCAGACAAATGTAGCGTCGGTTAAAATATATTCTAATTACTCTTAGGACTTGAGCTACTTCTGCAATAAGTTACATCAGGTTCGGGTGGGCTATAGCGCCATAAGTAAAAAAAGCATACTGGTCCTCGAATAAACATAAACTAATGCAACTGCGTTCCTTAGACATCCGGGTATCGATATTTCAATTATTTTTCATTGGGCGTTGGATAAAGAAAGTGCAATACGTAAATTATCTTAAGCGACTATCGGATATAAGAACAGTTTATAATCATTTTTTTGAACTTAACAATTTTACTACTTCATTTTAAGACGACAAAACAAAAACAGGTTTACTGAGGTGTACTAATGGTACGCATAGTGTTAATGTGACAGCTGGTTAAGCAACTGTAGTATATTAGGAGAGCAGTTCCTGAAGTTATTCGTTGAACTTAACAATTTCACTGGTCCATGTTAAGGCGAGAGAGAGAAAAAAAAACAAGTTTACTTAGATGTACTGATGGGACACATACAGGTAATATTGGCGCGTCGTCGCCAGAGATCGTTTGTGCTTTTATGCCTAGGTAAAAAAAAAGTCTGAACCTGCTTTTATCTTTGGTCTAGTAAAAATACGTAAGACCTGCATTTTTATTGGTTGAATTCTTATCAATATATGCATTTTTAACGTGAGCGCATTCTCTATGACATAGCTCTGCAGTGCAAGTTCCCGTGGGTGTTTGAAAAAGTTGTGTCTCAACACGGCTATATTTTTTTTTATGATTGGCTTTGTTTTCCTCTTGTGAAACCATGTCTTTGGTACCCGATTTGCGGCTCACTCAAGTAACTCAGTCGTCGAAGAACGTTTATTCACCCTCTGGATGATAATCTTAAAAAACAAACTGGAAATGCATTAATCTTGTTTTTCAGATGCGAATACCGGTCAACTGAGGGATAAACTAAAAATTAGGACTGAACATCATGAAAGCGTGCTTCAAAAGTCGTTGCAACTTACTGGCGCGCAACCGGATAAACTCGCTTTTTGAAAAGCGTTGGACATCAAAGCATCTGCAGACTGTGATTGAGGCGTACAAGCCCAATACAACATGCTATTTTGCAAACACCGGCTTGCTGTGTTCAAATGTCCCCTTTTGACGAGTTTATTTTGTCGGCTTATAAAGTTGAGCATATGCGGTTGTACAACATTGAAAGTGCAAGTGCACTCTGCTTTAATGTGACTGTCAACGCGGTAGCCGCCCATAGATATTACAGATTCACCAAAGCTTGTTATGTACGCCGATGACACAAATGTATTTTTCTCTGGTAAGACAAAATTTGCTTTAGAAAAATCAGCGAAAGAATATCTAGCAAAGTAGTCTTCCTTGCTTCAAAATAACAAATTACAACTAAACGATAATAACCGCAAATATATAATATTCAGACCAGTAAATAAACCTAGCGATGGGTCGACTTCTATTAACTATAAAGATAATATAATGGAAGAAGTGCTGGATCAAACATTTTCGGGCGTTTGGTTCAATGAAGAATTATAATGGACAACCCATGTGACAAAACTCCATTCAGAACTATGCAGATCGATAGATTGCATACAGAAAATAGCAACGCTTGTTTCTACCTGGCTAAATAAAATGCGGCATAATATTTTGATCTATATTCTATAATATGCTACGGTATTCTGGTATAAGGCACATAAGATGTTTCGAATTATGACAAAATGATTGTTGTACAAGAAAGAACGCAACGCTTGCTCGAAAACTACGAAGAAATTATAATCGAATTTAATAGTCACACAATTTCACCAGACACGTGATCACTAAGTCAAGTCAAATCTGTTACTTTAAATTATTCCAAGTGATATATAAGAAAACGTCTCTATGAAACAAATCAAGAGAGTTCAAATTATCGATTTGCATTTCGACAGGACACAAGAGGAAAGCCGAGAATGCGCACAAACTATGGCAAAAAAAAAAAAAAAAAGTTATCAGGCACCAAACTTGCTCAATCAGGTTGGCACCCATCTCGATTTTTCTGTGCCTTATCCAAAATATAAACAAGCTGCAAAGAACATCCTTATATGGCACAATATCACTTACTCATAATCACCAAAGCCTGCCGAACTATATATTACCTTCATGAGTCTGCGGTGTTTATATATTTAACTTTACGTCACCATGTCACCATTCCCTTGCTTATCTGGGATGTGTCTTTTACTCTAGCTTAGACCGAGTTCTTGGTTTTTTACTTATGAGCCATGACCATATAGGCGTTCAGTGAAATTTATTATTTTCAAAATGTCCATATTTTTATATCTCTACTTGCCATTCAGACTGTTACTTTTATAGCAACTGAGGGCTGTGACAAGTGTTGCTGTTGCTTCTGCTTCCAATTTTATTGCATTCTACCCTGCGGATCTGAAATGGCTCTTCTAGTGTGCTTTAGACCATGTTCTTGTGTTTTCCTCATGACGATTTTGGTGTTAAGTGAAACATTTTCTTCTTGATGTTACTGCTTCTGCTTCCAATTTTTTTATATTTTATTTTAACTGCATTGCTATTTTTATATTGCTCGGCGCCTTAGTTATGTAAAATTTCGCTGCCATATTTTTTTTTGGCGTACCAAATGTACTGTTGCTCTGAACCGTATAGGGGGAGGGGTCCCATCAAGTAACAATGCCTTTTGCCCCTGCCTCCCTACTTGGTGTTGCCGGTGACATACCAAATAAATAAATAAATAAAGGGAGAGATAAAGAGAAAGAAAGAAAGAAAGATAGAAAGATATTCTCCCTTCACGCTCCCGTCATTCCCGAGCAGGAGGTTTGCGCTAAAGGCAGAAACATCAGAAATACCGACATGCGGTGGCACTTTAATGCGTAGATCGTTCTGTAGTGGAAGCTGTCGGCCGAAAGGCGTCATACATAATGCATAGTGGGACGTCTGGTGTTCACTAGGGGCATTCCTGCTCTTGCTCTGTAAAAGAAAAAAAGAAAAAATACGCCGAGCTGGCAACGCAAGCAGATGTTTACGTAGTTTCGTGAAAGTTAGGGTTTTCAGGTTCTGACCAGAAACCACAACAAAATAAATAAAGAATAGAGTAAAAAGGGAAATAGTGCAACGTTTCTTAACAAGCTTGTTATTTTAGCTTTGGATAGGCGATCAACTTCTCATTTCTAAGACGAAATTGTATAGAGCACATTTCCTTCATTTGCGACATGCACAAATAGCCCCTAAGTGATAAGGCTCGTTAAGGCAGTAGCGTTTGACTGCGTTTGACTGCGTTACAACTGCTTGCGTCGAGCTCTTGCTATTGTGACCTTTACGACGAGCAAATGGGGAGGCGCTGTGCAGAGCGACGCAACGCAGCGCAAGGCAGCGCAGCGCAGTCAATACACATCTGTGAAAGAGCCTTTAGAGTTAAAAGTGAGGCACGCACGCATATACTTAGCGCGCCAGCAACTGACAGCTGCACGGTCTGTGAGTCCCGCCTTTTATTTTATCAAATTGTTTTCAAGTTCCCACATGCTGTACAGTTAGCATAAAGGCGGTTGCTCCGAATCTTAACTCAGTTACCGATACGAAAAGGTCATACAACATGAGCTGGCGCCATGTTTCCATAACCCCGAGTTAGGAAGTTTTTTTTTTTTTTTTTTTTTTTTTGGTTATTTACCACCGCTTTTTACGTGGCAGTGGGGGAAAAAAAACAATTGTCAAAACTGTCAGTGACCAACGGGTGTTCTCGACCATTCTTTGTCACAAAACCTGCTCGCGTCCCTAATGTTACGCTTACGCGAGAAACTCTATTGCCTCGATTGTTTGGGACAAATTTACGGCGTTTATCTTGCTTTAGATTTGAAGAACATGGCTTGGAAACGTT